GATAGTGAATGCTTCCCTCTAGGTGTGTGCCTAACACTAAATAGAGCTATTGGTAGACTTTCTGGCCAGGGCATCTTTGTTTCTTGTGACATTTTAAGCATTCTGGCTTTTAAGGTGCCGTTCATGCGTTCCACTTTCCCACTACTTTGTGGGTGGTAAGGGGTGTGAAAGGCTAGGGTCACCCCCAGAGCAGTCCAAATCTCTTTAGTCACTGTTGCTGTAAAGGCTGGGCCCTGGTCACTTTCAATAACTTCTGGAAGTCCAAACCTACATAAAACATCTGTAAGTAGACGTTTTGCTGTTGTTTTGGCAGTGATATTGGCTACTGGGTAGGCTTCTGGCCAGCCTGAGAACATGTCCACTATCACTAGTGCATATTCATGGGGCCCGCTCTTGGGCATTTGTATATGATCAATTTGAATTCTCTGGAATGGGTACATGGGCTTAGCCAGATGTTTTGTAGGCACTTTGATTGGCTTCCCTGGATTGCATTTTGCGCAAATGGCACAAACCCTGCAGAAGTTAGTGATCAATGTTGTTATTCCAGGGGCTTCATAATACTTCTGGATGAGGGCGGCCATTAAATCTTTTGACAGATGTGCTGGTCCGTGTGCCCATTGGACAACTGCTGGGTATAAGTTTTTTGGAAGGCAGAATTTGAAATTGTTATAGTATATTCCGTCCTTTAAGACAGCCCCTTTCTTCTTCCATTTCTGGATCTCTTCAGGGGTAATTGCGGCTTGCTGTTTCCTGTAAAATCCTTAGATCAGTAGGAAGGGTCTGTAAAGTAAAAACAGGAACTTCTTCTTGACCGGACACTTCTTCGTCCACTTCCTGCAAATTTCTTGCTGCTTGCTTAGCAGCCTGATCAGCCAGATGGTTGCCCCTTGCTTCATCTGTATCCAACTTTCCATGTGCCTTGACTTTCAATACGGCCACTTCTTCAGGGAGTAGGAGGGCATCCATTAGCTCTTTGATTGCAGAGCTGTGTTTGACTGGTGTGCCGGCAGTAGTAAGAAATCCTCTTGTCTTCCATATGAGGCCGAAGTCGTGTGCCACACCTAGGGCATATCTTGAATCTGTGTAGATGTTGGCACGTTTTCCTTCGGAGATTTTGCATGCTGAAGACAGGGCTTGTAATTCAGCTTCTTGCGCAGACATTGCTGGTGGTAAAGATGATGACTTGATAACTTCATCTGTTGTGGTTACGGCATATCCTGTGTGGTATTTTCCTTCTTCATCAGCATATCTTGAACCATCCACAAACAGAGTGAAATCAGGATTTGTCAATGGATTCTCATGCACCGTTGGTAGATGTATGGTCTCCATTTTCATCTGTTTAAAACAGTCGTGAGGAGTCTCTGGGTCATAGTTGTTTACTATGACCAGGCTTTTAAAGTCATTTTCCAGGAAATGGCGTGGCCATGCTTCAAGTAGGTCAGTTGTGGGGTATTTGGCAATGCCATTTTCCTGTAACTTCGAGTCATCCATGGTGGCCCATAATTTCGCCATGGGCCGAGATCATTCCATGATTTTGTTTTCAACTTGGTAACAGGGACATGTGGAATAGCAGTATCCCAATGACGGTATAAATACTTGAGTTCTGAAGGTAGTTCGATCAAGACCATGCTATTGCCTTCAGAATCACAATAGAAGTCGTGAGCAGTGAGTTTCACCTCCACCCAGTGATAGAGTTCATCTTCATAGCAAGGTTCAGGAGAGATGTTCGGCTTGTATGTGGTACAGAAGGCATATCCTGGACCCTCACAGAGAGGTTTTTGTTCTTTATAAAAGGTTAAATCAGGATGCATCCTCTTGATGGTTCCAGTGAGGAGAAAAATATAGGTTTCGTCCATGATAAACCCATAGTGGATACCCCCCTCAGGGAGTGGAAGAAGAGTGGACGGATTAAGAACTTGACACCTTTGTATGGTGATGTTGTCAGGTAGCAGGAGGTGACACTGTAAACGCAGGTGTCTGGCAGGAGACACATGTTTGAGCTGGACTTGGTTGATAATGGCAGAAATGTCATGAGGTGCCAATACGACCAGAGGATGACCAAGGACCAGGTCTGCAGTTTTCTCAATAAGTTCTCTTGCAGCAAAAACAGCCCTAAGGCATGAAGGGGCCCCTCTGGCCACGATATCCAGCTGACAGGAGAAAAACCCAATAGGCCTTTGGCGGCCTCTTAACTCATTTGTTTGGGTAAGCACTCCTGTGGCGTGGCCTTGTCTTTCAGAGACAAATAATTTGAAGGGTTTGGTGTAGTCTGGTAGGCCCAGAGCAGGAGCAGATGCAATGGTACGTTTCAGAATTTTAAAATTGTCCAGTGCTTCATTTGTCAGGCAGAATGGGTCTGACTTGAGTGCATCATAGAGTGGCTGCATAAGCAGAGAGGCTTCTGGGATCCATGCTCTGCAATAGGAAATGAGGCCTAAAAAAGCCTGGAGAGATTTTGTGGTTCTTGGAGGTGGAATCTCCAGTACGGCTCTGACTCGGTCCCGAGTGAGATGTCTGGTGCCTTGAGATAGGCAATGTCCAAGAAAGATTACTGTTGGCTGACAGAATTGCAGCTTGAGACGTGAAGCTTTGCATCCTTGTTCTGCTAGGTAGCAAAGGAGACTAATAGAACAGTCTTCTGTTGTAGGTATGTCATCCCCACAAAGTAGGAGATCATCCACATACTGAAGTAGGACAACTTCTGGGTGGTCTGTTTGCCATGGGTCCAGGATGGAGCACATGGCTTTAGCAAATTGACTTGGAGAATTTTGTGCCCCTTGGGGCATGACAGTCCATGTATACTGTTGCATTTCATGAGTGAAAGCAAACAGGTATTGGCAAGTCGGATCCAGTGGAACACTGAAGAAGGCATTAGCCAGGTCAATGACTGTGAAGTATTTTGCAGATGGTGGAACTCCAGATAGCAGAGTGTGGGGGTTTGGTACAATAGGGACAGTTGCTTCATTGACAGCTCTGAGGTCCTGGACCATTCTGTACTTCTCTGGTTCCCCTTTTGGTGTTTTCTTCTTCACAGGAAATAATGGGGTGTTGCATTTTGATTCACACTTCACAAGAGCACCTTTCTCCAAAAGTGCTTTGATTTGAATTGAAATAGCTGCAGCCTGAGCTGGCTTTAGAGGATATTGTGGTTTTCTTGGTAATTTTGCTCCTGGAATGAGCTTTACCACCACAGGTGGAACTCTCAGATGACCTATGTCTTCTGGGCCTTTGGACCATAATTTTGCAGGTACCTTTGTTTTGATGATATCCGGAAAATTGGACCTCTGCTCTTTTGCTTCCCCACGGGGTTCATCTAAATGCAGCACTAGAGGTAGGGAGCACAAAACTGAGGTATCTGATTCAGATAGGGGAGTAGACAATTCTACTTGACCTTCTGGGGTGAAGGTGATAGATGCCTGCAGCAGTGGTGTATCCTGGTTTTGTGCTGCCCTAGGCAGGACAAAACTCAGGCGCCCCCCCTTCCCCCCCCCACCTTCTAAATACACACACACAGTCAGACACAAAAACACACACACACAGTCAGACACACACACACAGTCAGACACATACACACACACACACGGTCGAACCACATACACACACGGTCAGGCACACACAGTCAGACACATACACAGACAAACACAGTCAGACACAAAACACACACACAGTCAGACACACACACACACAGTCAGACACACACACACACACAGTCAGACACAAACACACACACAGTCAGACACAAACACACACACAGTCAGACACACACACACAGTCAGACACAAACACACACACAGTCAGACACAAACACACACACAGTCAGACACAAATACACACACACGGTCAGACACAAACACACACAGTCAGACACACACACACACACGGTCAGACACACACACACACTGCACAGTCGAACTGAAACACACACAAACACAGTCACGCCACCTTACACACACACACACACACAGTCAGACACACACACACATACACGGTCAGACACACACACACACACATACGGTCGGACACAAACACACACACACATACACACAGTCGGGCAAAACACACACACACATACACAGTCAGACACAAACACACACACAAACACACAGTCACATACACACACAGTCAGACACATACACAGACACAAACACAGTCACACACACACTCACAAACACAAACACACATTAACTTTTTTTTTAATTTAAATCCCCCCCCAACCTCCTTACCTTTGGGAGTGCTGGGGGGGGTGGGGGTCTCTCTCCCTGGTGGTCCAGTGGCTGCAGGGCGGGCGGCGCTGGCAGGGCGGGCGGCCGGCGAGGGAGCACTTCCCATGAGCTGACTGCTCAGCTCCCTCGCGCGTCGGCTGCAGAGTGAGGCTGGGAACCGGAAGATGACGTCATCTTCCGGCTCCCAGCCTCACTTTGCGGTGCGCGAGGGAGCTGAGCAGTCAGCTCATGGGAAGTGCTCCCTCGCCGGCCGCCCGGGATGTCAGTTAGCCGCAAGGCTAACAAGGCATCTGCCCTGGGCATTTGGGGGGCGGCGTTTTTTGCCGCCCCCTGAAAAATGCCGCCCAAGGCAAATGCCTTGTTTGCCTCGCGGCTAATATGTCCCTGGCCTGCAGGCGTGAGAGGACATCAGCACCTAACAGGTTAATTGGGCATGTGGAGGATACTACAAATCGAGCAAGCAAGTTTGGGTAATTGCCAACTCGCAATGGGGTTGTTAAAGGACTGTGCCTTGGTTGGCCATCCACTCCAACACAAGAGACATCTATTTCTGATAGGAATGAGGCATCTGGCAGGTCTTGTTCTCTCAGAACACTTCGGGCTGCACCTGTGTCAACTAAAAATGTGGTTTCTCGTCCTTCAATGGGTAAAGTCACAGTGGCAAGTGCCCCCCCCCCTTTATCCCCTGAAGACACTGCCATGACAGGGGTTAATGACACAGGCTTGCCAACTTCCTAATCATCTGGTTCCTTAACAATTGGAACCGTTTCTGTGGCCTTATGGGCAGGTGCAGGCTTGGGCGCCTTTCTGGGTTCCGGGCACTCATTTTTGAAGTGACCTTTAGCCTTGCAATTGAAACAGAAACCATCCTCAGGTTTGGTACCTCTTGGGACAGGGGTGAAGCGGGACACCATGAGAGGGGCTGAGGAAGAAACCGAAGTCTGTTTTTTGGGAGCCTGTGCAGACTCTAGACCCCTGGCAACTAAAAGTAGGGTATCCAGAGAGACTACCTTATATTCAGGGCGTGCAGCAATGATTCCCTTACGAATATAATCCTTTACACCTTGGACAAATGCACCTGACAGCATTTGTGAATGAATCTTGTCGGTACGATCAAAGCCCAAATCTGTAAACATTTGAAACAGTCTTGCATGAAATCTTTCCACTGATTCTCCTTTCTCTTGTATAACATCAGTAATGCCGGCAGCCTGATCTGCAAGTTTGTCTTTTGCCCACTCCTTTACCTGGCTGCAAAAAGTTACTCCGGAGGGGTAATCAGTGTCACTTGTCAGTAAATCGGCATTGAGGTGTCGGGACATGCTGGGCCAATATGCATCCCCGGCCTTGATTGCACAAATGCTTAGTAAATCACGCCATGCTGCGGAATAAGTCTTTTGAATCTGAACTATCCCTCGGTAAAAAGGCATAGGTTGCTTTTCTGGGTCAGGGAGCGATTTTATTAAAGCACTAGCTTGCGTTGGATTGAAAGCAACATATTTAGGAGGGGCCTGGTCCCCCCTATTTCCCCGACCCGCATGCCCGAAAGGATCATCTATGGAACGGTGGGGCTGTGACTCTACAACCTCTAGTGAGCCCTGGGAACCCTCATCATTCTCATCCTCATCTGTGGTTTGGGCCCAGGGCCGGACTGGGTATGAAAACCAGCCCTGGAAAAAATTCCATACCAGCCCCATAGCATTGCGTAATTATACCGGCACAACGTCATTTTCTTGTTCATAAAAGGTAAAATCATGCATTTTAAAGCACATTTGAAGAGTGAATTATTTATAGATAAGAGATATAAAAGCACACAAGGCCTTATACATAAAGCGTAAGAAAAGTGTAAACGTGGAGCAATCATCAAGAGTAGACCATTTATTGCTAGGGTGATTAGATTACATTTAGAACTTTGCCCCACAATAGCTCTTTATGTAGAACCCCCATTGTTCCAAATATCATAGTAGACCATTATCCCATGCAATTGTGTCTGCCCCATCAAAATTGTCCAAATAAAGAATAATCAAAGAGCTTTACATCAAAGTATAGAAAACACAAATGGTTTCCAAAATGTATTAACTTAACATATATAAATTACTCATAAACACACAAAACAGTAGTAAATGCAAATAAACTTTTAGAGGTAACACAAAGTGCAAATGTTATACTAGACAGTAATTAAATATTTTAACAGTTATAATAAACGTGCGAAAACCTTAAGAATTCAATAAAGTTTAAATACCTTGAAACATATTGCTGACTAGCTTTCTACTCCAATTTTAGAACAGGAAAATTGTACCAGTACCATGGCAAGCAAACCAACAGTTTTCAAAATGTAATGTACAAACATTACTCAAAAAAGTGCTTTAAAACAAGTAAATTAGTTTAACAGTAGATAAAAACAGGGCTCATTACCCTTTAGGACATGCCTGTCTAACTTGTGCTCCCCCAGATGTTGCTAACTACAACTACCATGATTCTTTTAATGAAACAGATGGCCAGGGAATTATGGGAGTTGTAGTTCAGTAACATCTGGGGAGGGTGCATGTTGGACAGCGCCTGCTTTAGGAGGTTGCAATGTGTAAACTGTTTTCTAAAGTTTTATTGGATAAAATATGTAACAACTTTTAAAAGTAATAACTTAAAAAAAACAAAAAAAAACTAATCCAGTCAAAATCTAGAAAAATAAATATTGACCAACATTGTAATTTACTGACATGCTTGTAAGTTATGTAAGCAACATCTCTTGTAGCAAGCTGCTTTTTGAAGCCAAAACATCAATGATGGTTTCGTTGCTTAGTCCAATCAAGGCCTCTTTCTCCACTGACATTAGCATAAAGGCCTCCAAATGTGTTTGAGAGAGGGAATTTCTCAGTCTGTTCAAGATGTATTTAAGTTTTGAAAACCTCTCACATGCTACTTGCGAAGAGGAAAGTGTCAGTGTCAATTTGTATGCATTAAAAAGTGAACTATACGTTAGACTGTAAAAGTTGTAACGCAATAATACATTGTAGCAGCAGGCTATACAGCTCTTACAAGTTTTGCACTTTCCACTTTTATCACCAACATTGGAGTATGGCTGTTCCTCAGTTTCAGAGATAAGATGAGAATGGATGGTGTCTTCATCTTGACCTTCATTGTTCACATCAATATATTCTTCATCAAGTGACATTTTCAATCTTTGCCACTTTGATGCAAAATCAAGTAGCTCACTGCGCAGTTTCTCTTTCGTTGCATTGGAGTCAAATTTAATAACAAGGCTACTCAGTCTTTCTAATGCACTGCTGGGAAGGTCTAGTAAAATATCTTCAAAATTTTGGGGATCTAAACATGCCAAATCTGCAAATAACTGACCATGTGTTGTAAATCGGCTATGCAGACTATTAATGATCTTGTCCAAGGTCACATTGTACACCTCCACCCGGAACTGGTCACTTGCTAACAGAATTGGTTCATCTACTGCAAGCTCACCAGCCATTCTTTTCTTACGTTGTATTCTTCGAGGTGATGGAAAGTCTTCCTCAAGCAAAACTTTGCAGCTGGTTGTATCCAACTTGCTGTTTGCCCAGACTGCAAACTTCTTTGCAGCATCTATAATCATTTGTGAATCACGATCATGTGCTTGCAAGTTGTTTACTGTTTCTGTCACCATTCGGTATGCCTGCAATACATCCATACCATGTGTTTGCAGGTACAAGGATAGTGGAGTGGTATTCTTGAAAACAAATAAGTACAGCTGTGCCATTATAAGTGTGTGGAATTTTTTGAGGGATTCTAAGTAAGTTCCAGCCTTGTATCTGATGTCAGCATTAAAATGATCAGAACGTGATATTTCTGCCATGGTCTGGATCAAATCTACATACAAGGCTTGACTTGGATCATTAAACGAACCAAACACCTTTGTAAGTGCTGCATCTCTAGACCACCATCTTGTTTCTCCAATCACAGAAAGAGATCTAAATCTTTCTTCCTGAGACTTCACGCCATACATTCATCCGAAGGTAGGATTCGCGGATAAATACAGCACAGGAGTTTAACAAGCCGAACAACAATATTGCCTGAACAGATATCTTTGTGACATCCATCATCACCAAATTTAGTACATGTGCATAGCACCACACATGAATCTGGCCAGGTGCTTTACTACTCAGCCATGTGCTGAATCCGTTGTACTGACCCTGCATATTCGAAGCTCCATCAGTTGAGTTCCCAACACAGTTCGTAACCTCAATTTCCATGGATTCCAATACATTGCAAACAAGTTCACACAAAGCCTTCCCTGTCGTGGATGTGCAATTTACCACAGCAACCAGACGTTCATGGACCACATCTGTGACATACCGAATTATTATTGAACACTGGTCTGAGACGTTTATATCCTGTGTTGTATCGAGCTGTATTGAGAACATGCCGGCATCTCTGATCTCTTGGGCAATACCTTTTTTCAAAAGTGCTGAAATTACACAGATGATATTGTTGACTGTAGTTTTTGAAATTAATGTAACAAAGCTACCACGTCCTTTGCTACTTGTTGCACTTTGATGCTTCTTTTTACTTTTTTTAATAACTGTATCAAGGTGATTTTTCAGCAAGGGATCAAACTTGCTTAAGAGTAGCAAAATCTCTAGGAAGTTTCCATGGTCCAACTTTTCATTATCTAACGTATATGCTGCTTCAGCTGTTGCCCGATAGCTTAGGCCTCTTTTTCCAATCAGCTTTATGGTTTCAATTATCCTCTCTAGAATGGCACGTTTTCTCTTCACTTCCTCTTTTCTGGCTGTTTGTTTCTCAAAGAAATGACTAGATATGTCCATATTCTTTGACCTCATCAAAAGGGATTCAGAGCTATTATTGTGGAGGTTGCTTCTTTCGTGCTCTTCAATTCTCTGGTACATGTGCTTTTCATCAAAGCAACCATCAATAAAAGCACTGTCGTCTGTCTTTTTGCTGAAAGCTAGACACACCATGCAGAAAAAGGCACCATGTCCATGTGAATAAGTCAACCAGTGATGCTTCTTTCCATCCCTCCTCTGATATAACTTTGTTGAATTTAAAGAAAGGATAACTGGTTGACATGGATGAAACAATAGGAAAGAATCCAAATTTTCAGATTTTGGTTTGATAAACCACATTTTATCATCAACTGTGTCAGACATGCCCTCCTTAAGGCCAACTACTTCTGGAATATCTTCTTTTGCTAATGAAGAATCATGTTCAACAGTTTCTCCCTCAACAGTAACTCCAATACTGTGGTGAATATCTTCACCTGCTTCGGTATCTATATCCAACTGTACAGTGCTTTGCATAGCGCTATGCATTGCTGTGCTACAGCTAGCGCCAATGTCTTCATGTAGAGATACGGGTGGTAAGTCATGCTTTGTTGCCACTATCTTAAACAAGCTACTGACTTTTTGATACTGGTGTGCATCTTTTTCTAACAGTTTTTTTTTTTTTTCACGTTCTTTTTCTGCTCCACCTTTCTGTTTTCTTTTACTTTCACCCTTCTTATCCATGGCAATCACTAAAAAAAGAAGATATATTTGCTATATTTGATTCAAAACACAAATTAATTACATCTGAACCATGGGCAAAATGATCCAGAATCCCAAACTATGGGAGTGGATGGATTAGAATGGTGATTCTAACCAAATTGATTAAAATTGTCCGCTGGGTCATTTGAAATGATAAAGACTGAAACATGTCCCAATGAAGCCAAATAATAAATTCTGATATATATTCAGAAATAAAAGCTTGCCAGTGCTAAAGCCTGGTATATGTTTTATGAACTCAACATCAGGCACTTTTTAAGCCACTGTACAAAAGCATTATATACATCAACCAAGTAATACTTGACTATCCAAAGTAAGCAATGCAAGGTATAAAGCATATAGATTAACCGTACATAGAACAACCAATCCACTGAAAAACACATCATAACCCTGTATAGATCAACGGAATACCATATGGCAGACATCAAGCAAAGAATACACGCAAGCCTGCAACACATGTATAGATCAACTGAACACATGCAAGCCTGCAACGGCAGGTAGAGATCAACTGAATAACGCAAGCAAGCCTGCAACGGCAGGTAGAGATCAACTGAATAACGCAAGCAAGCCTGCAACGGCAGGTAGAGATCAACTGAATAACGCAAGCAAGCCTGCAACGGCAGGTAGAGATCAACTGAATAACGCAAGCAAGCCTGCAACGGCAGGTAGAGATCAATTGAATAACGCAAGCAAGCCTGCAACGGCAGGTAGAGATCAACTGAATAACACAAGCAAGCCTGCAACGGCAGGTAGAGATCAACTGAATAACGCAAGCAAGCCTGCAACGGCAGGTAGAGATCAACTGAATAACACAAGCAAGCCTGCAACGGCAGGTAGAGATCAACTGAATAACACAAGCAAGCCTGCAACGGCAGGTAGAGATCAACTGAATAACACATGCAAGCCTGCAACGGCAGGTAGAGATCAACTGAATAACACAAGCAAGCCTGCAACGGCAGGTAGAGATCAACTAAATAACACAAGCAACCCTGCAACGGCAGGTAGAGATCAACAGGAGAATATGTGTGAAACCTGCACTGCAAGTAAAGATAAATAGAATAACATAGGGCTCGACAAATCTCGGGAGCCATGGTTCATAAAATTGCTGCTGCTGGCTCCTAAGTTTTTTGATTGTATTTTATAAAACTTTACGGAAGTTCCATTTCTCTTGCTCCTGATTTGGTGTGGCTCCTCAAGGCTACAGAAGTTTGTCAAGCCCTGGAATAATACATGCAAACCCTGCATTGCAAGTACAACTGGAATGTAGAATTTTCAAGTTGTTGATGATATGCATCATATTGGGCCAAATAAGGTATTGGCACCGAGTTGTTCAACATCTTTTTTTCACTTATGCAAACACGATCTACGTGTTTAAAATAATACATATAACAGTTTTTTTTCACTGTATTTCTCTGAATGACGTCTCACCCTGTGCTCTGCCTTCTGTGCAGGTCTAAAATCTCAGCCTCAGCAATATTCCAGAGTCCAGGTTGTTTCTGTATCACCTCACTGGTACTGGTACAACAATTAGAAGAAATAAATCACAATGCAGTACTTTACAAATGTGTGAAGTAAAATGTTTTCAAGGGGACACTTCAGGCACCAACACAACTTCATTCAAATTAAGTCGTTTGGATATCAGGATGCCCCCGGAGGGGATTACCTCTACGTTGCTTCCAGCGCTGGTCTAAACTCTTCCCCTAGCAACATCCAGCTTCAGAATTTTGAGATTCAGGAAGAGCGGAGTTCTGTCAGAAAGCTGAGCACTCTCAGCCAAATCAGTGGCGCGTCCCCCGGCAGCACTCCGCGATTCCTGAATTTTAAAGTTCAGATGGCAGATGCTGCCAGGGGACGAGTAGAGACCAGAGCTGGAGGCAACTTATGGGTTAAACCATTTGAGAACAGTTTAACCTCTTGGGATAAGAGTGCCCCTTTTAATAGGTTAATAACAGTTTGCCAGCCACTGGCATGTCAAAATCCAGCTAATAAAACACAGTCTAAAATCCACATGCAAGGCAAAGTTTAGTTAATAAAAAAAACAAAACAGTCTAACAGCCACAGCCGTGGCAAAGTCCAGTTAAAGGGACACTATAGGCACCAAGACCACTTCTTCCCATTAACCCTGCATTGTTAATTATTGCAGTTTCTGTTCTCCTCCTCTAGTGGCTGAATAACATTAAATGACGCAGTTCGTCCTCACACTGTTCATGAGAACATCCAGCGTCATTGAAAACCCAGTAGGAAAGCTGCTTTCCTTAGGAAATGCCCTAACACGTGTCGTGGTTTCATATTCATATTCACATAATCACTATAAACCAGGCGTGTCCAACTCTGAGCCGCTTGTAACGCAGCCCACTTGCCGTCCGGGCTGCTACACTCTAGCCCTCACTTAGGGAGGCTGGGCGGCCCTCATAATTACTAAATGTGTGTGTGTGTGTGTGTGTGTGTGTGATTCATGTATATCTCTGATTATGTATATACATGTGTATGTCTTTAGCAGATAGCTCCCTTATTTGGCATCCTTAAATATGGCAATCCCACATAAGGATAACAAATAAGGGAGTTATCTACTAAACCAGCATTTCCCAAACCAGTCCTCAAGACCCACCAACAGTCCAGGTTTTGTTAGTATCTCCATTGGAATAAGATCGGGAAATACATTAATCCTGGATTGTTGGTGGGCCATGATGACTGGTTTGGGAAGCACTGTACTGAACAAATGAAATATATAAATAAACCCCTTAAGGACTGAACCATTTGTACAGGTTCTAGTCAAAACAAAAACTAGCAACTTGTGCTAGAAGTTTGATCAACCATAATTTACCTCTTTCATATTAACTGTACTCCTATTAAATATCATTTTGTTCAGTAGAAATAGGGCTTTCATTTCACATCAAGTGAAACAATTTAATATGAATAAAATCTAACAAAAGTTGTGAAATTAAGAAATGTTTTCACTTTTTTTTCTCAATGAAGTGGTCTGGGTGCAATGTCCCTCAGGTTTTAACCCTTCACATATAAACATAGCAGTTTCATAGAAACTGCTACGTTTACATTAGGGGTTAATCCAGCCTCTAGTGGCTGTCATCCGGACAGACAGAGGGGCATCTGCGACGCTGGAGGCACATTTCGCCTCCATCGCGCAGAGCGTCCATAGGAAAGCATTGAGAAATGCTTTCCTATGGACACTTTGAATGCGGGCGCGGCCATGGGCATTCAGCTCCAGTGATGTCGGACAGGGGAGCTGACGTCAGACAGGGAGGAGAGGTCACCAGCGCCGAGGGAGCCTGGCGCTGGATTAAGGTAAGTAACTGAAGGGATTTTAACCACTTCAGCACCACGGGAGGGGGACCCTGAGGGTGTGGGCACCCTCAGGACACTATAGTGTCAGGAAAAATGCTTTGTTTAAGGGGTTATTTTGGCCTGGTGAAGCCAAAAGGTTATACACCTATGCTCTAAACCAGGGGTAGACATCCTTTGCAACTCCAGATGTTGTGGACTACACATCCCTTGATGCTTTGCAAGCCTTAATGGAGATGTAGTAAAAAACAAAGGGAGTGTCGAAGGTTATCTACCGCCGCACTAAACCAAAAATATATAATACAGTTCCTACGCCATAAATATAATATTTAATGCTATAATATTTAATGCTCTCATCCAACCCCCTTCCCTCCACAGTTCCTAATAAATATATTACAAATATAATTCCCTCACCCCTGTAGCTCCCTCTAGTTACATTTCCTTCTACACACACACACACATTATATATATAAAATATTAATTGGGCCACAAATATAAATGTCACAAATATAATCATTGCCTCATCTCAAATTCCCAAGTCAGATCTTTCCCGCCCCCCCTCACCCTAATACACTTCTGCCCCCCCGCCCCCATCGAATACACATCTGGCCTCCCCTTCCCCCTATGTAATACACTGCTGTCCCCCCTCCCCCTAATTTACTGCTGTCACCCCCCTCCCCCACTACATTACTGACCCCCCTCCCCTAATTCATTACTGCCCCCTCCTCCCCTAATACATTACTGGCCCCCCTAAATACATTACTGGCCCCCCCAAATACATTACTGGCCCCCATTACTACATTTCCCAAATACATTGCGCCCCCCCTCCCACCTAAATACATTGCATTTTCAAAAATACATTTACTACCCCCCCTCCCGTACCCCAAATACATTTCCCCTCCATGCACCCCAAATACATTGCTGCCCCTCCAGCCACTCCAAATACATTTCTGCCCCTCCCATGCTCCAAATACATTGTTTTACTCATTTGCCCCCGAGCCACTGTTTACCCAGCCCCCCCTCCCTCGCCCCAAATGCAACGCTTCCCTACCCCATGCCCTGACCACATTGCTGCTTTTATCCCGTACCCCGATACATTGCTGCCCCTCCCTCGCCCTAAATACATTGCTGCCCCCACTGCCTCCTGCCCCAAATACATTGCTGGCCACTTCCCCCTCCCTCCCATGCCCCGAAGCCATTTGCTGGCCCACCCCCCCCTCCCTCCCTAAGCCCCAAATACGTGCAGCTTGCCCCCCACCTCCCTCCATACTTTAAAATACATTTGCTGCCCCCTCCCTCCCATGCCCCAAATACATTTGCTGGCCACCCCCCCTCCCTCCCTGGCCCCAAATACATTGCTGCCCCACTCCCACTCCATGCCCAAATGCATTTGCTGCCCCCTCCCCCTCCCATGCCCCAAATGCATTTGCTGGCCACCCCCCCTCCCTCCCATGCTAAAATGCACATTTACTGCCCCCTTCCATGCCCCAAATACATTGCTGCCCCAAATACATTAATGGCCCCCAAATACAATAGGTCCCCCTAGCCCAAGCCCCTTTATTCTTACCTTAAAAACTGTTCCAGTTCAATGGTGCCGGTGGGAAGAGAGGCCGCGATTCAGGCTTGCTGGTGGTGCCGCCGCCGCGCAGCCGCCGGATATGACGTTATGTCGTCATTATCCGCTCACATCCGGCGGCTGCCAGGAAGTGCCTGTGCGCTCGCACAGGAAGCAGTAGCGGCCGGCGCGAGTGCGCCGCGCGGCCGCATACTCCTATACAAAAAAAAAATTATGTCTTGTGGCTGAGTGCAGCCACATGTCAAAGCGGCCCCAGGGCTGGCGGCCTACCGGGAAATTTCCCGGTATCCCGGTAGGCCAGTCCGGCCCTGTTTGGGCCCTTCTACGTGATGGGATAACCTGAGGTGTCAGAACCGGGGGAAATGAGGGATTCCCAGATGCTGGGGTGGTGGGTAGGTTATGAGCCTGTGGTGAGTAGTCACCGGGAAGTACCGGCATCAGGGGTGCTGAATGACTGGGGGCCGCCATATTGGAGGCGTGGAAAGGGGCTGCGTTAGGGTTAAGGGAAGAAGTGGCGGCCATATTGGATGTGGGCACATCCGGGGCAGACTGGGCCGGACTGGGCATGACCGGTGTCTGGGGAGTGGCTTGGAAAAAGGGGTAGGGATAATTTGGGTAGGGCGAGGACATTGGGTATGGTAAGGGGTATGGCCAGGGAAACTGGGCAGGGGCTAGGGCGGAACCAAGGGAGGGCATAATAGCTGAGTAAGGATTAGGGGGGGGAGTGGGGACTTGGGCTGTGGGAGGAGTGAGTAACGGGGAAGACGGAGCGGGATTAGTGGAGACGGGTGTAGGAGGAGTAGCTTAAGTGGGTGCAGTAGGATTGGCAATAGCAAGGGAGGAGGGGTTAGCTAACTGGGTGGAAGAAGATGGGGTAGGAGGGTTAGCAACGGAGAGTGAGTGTTGAGAAGAAATGGTGGATGAAACATTTAGACTAGGCAGATTAGTCACAGAAGGCAATGCAGGGATGGATGGGGATGATGGGAGTGTTAGGGATGATGGAGGGGAGAAAAAGGATCCGTCAGAATTCAGGACTGGGCAGACAGGGGAGGTGACGGGATGGGTGACGGGAGGTTCGGGAGTGGAGAACATGGTCAGCTGGCTGTCGCCTTTTGCTGACCGAACCTTGGGAATAAACATCCCCTGGGCACCATCTTGGGGTGTTGGCTGAGAGGATGCCC